CTGAAAGTTCTGGCGGCCAGTCTTAATTTGTTAAGCTAGAAACATTTGCCGAAAAAACCGGTGCTGAGCGAAAAAAACTGCGGGAATCTGTGCAAAAAACGCATCTTCGCACGGGCAGCCATGCGTTGGCCAGTTATTTTTAAAGGAAAAATTGGTTGCTGTTTAAAAGTTAGTAGAATTTCTTCTCTAGTTTGTATCTTCTTTACAGCTTAGGGATGAAACACGGAAGGACGGCGTTTGAATTTGTCATATTACCAGGTTTTGAATTCATAATGTCCTATTCTAATTTTTCTTATAATTCTGCTTCTGTTCGAACATATTAAACTTCACAACGTTTTTAGCTGCAGCGAATGGCGCGCAATTCAAGACGGAATCAAGAAACGCGGGTGGTGGTACATCCGCCAGCAACACCGGAACATCTCCGACCAGCGCCGTTGGATCCGGCTGCTAGAGGCCAAGTGGCCAGTCACCCGTACGACTGCATGACTATCACCTGCCTATGTCCATTTTTCTTGGTTTGCTCTTAAACACAACTGCCTTATCCTCTACTACTGGTTCGAATATTTGAGAATGGGAACATTTCCTATATGATCAGTATACGTGTATTTCTGCTGAATTTTAAAATTAGCAGTAATTCATATTTAAATTTGATAATCAAATATCAAAATTTCCTCAGTAGTCGGCTCTTATGAGAGGCGAAAGTAACGCGCTATTGTAAAGTCCCTATCAAATAAATCGAATTTTGACAAAAATTCAGGGTTCGATAAATCCGCAAGGAGAGTGTGTATTGCCGAACGGTCAAACACTTATGATGGCATATCGTAAGGAATACCGAATGCTCACGGAAGACGAGCGCCTTCGATATCACAATGCAGTCACAATGCTCAAACGTAGTGGCGAATACGACCGGATGAGCTTTGAACATCAGTCGGTAAGTTTACTGAAACATTTATTGAACAATTATTATTAAGATTCCACATTTTTTTGGCGGGAAACGACTTCATGAATCAGATAAGGTAGGAAGCTAAAATTTTGCAGGGATTTTCTCCGCGTATGTACAAGCTAATGATTTCGAATTCATCTGTTGCAAACACGTATGTCACATGTTAACATGCGTGTTAAAGGTTAAAATTCTCAGTTGACGTTGTGCCAACTCGAAAACTAGTCAAAAAATAGTAACTGAAATTTTGTCAAAATATTTATTGCTCATATGGAGAATCGTATACTTAAACCGAATTCTGCATTAGCATCGCGACTCAGGGTATTTCAAAGATATTTTTAGCGAAGTGGCTATTTCGCTTACCAGACAAGCCTTATCGCAAACTCAAAAGCAAGTGCGTTTTGCGGATCTCGCAACCCTCTTCTGACTTCCTTCGGTGAAGAGCCGTTCACTGGAAAAAGGACTGGGCTTCATGCTAAATTGATAATCGTACACGCTGGGCGATCAGATAGCTCCATGATGTAGCACTACCATCTTAGTCGACGTTCTTTTCCCTTATATGCAAAGAAAGGCCAAAACACAACCAATATGTGCCCACGTTTTGAATCACAGCGCTAGAATCATTCTTGCTATTAACAATCTGCAGGCTTAACGCAAAAACGCATAATCGTACCGGCCAGTCTTGTGCATTGCAGCCTTGGGCTGAAACTGTCTAATGTCACTTAATGTGAAACTTCACCATTTCTTTTCTTCGCTTTGATTGCTCTTTCGCTTTTAATACACTTCGGCTTCTTACTCTCTTCCTCTTCGGTAAATAGCAATTCTCCTCTCTAATATGCCGATTGTTCTAAAATATACCAGTTTCCAGGTCGGTCAGGGCAGTGGTGCGCATTCAGGGCCCGGGTTTCTTCCATGGCATAGAGAATTCACAAAACGGTATTGCTGTTGATTATTCTTTGAAAATTTTCTACCAGTGAACAGTAGTTATTTTCCCTACCTAGTTTAGTCTGTTAGTATGTTCAAGCAAGTTTGATAATTAAAAAAAATTCATAGTATTTTCAGTCGAACTGCTTTCGTATTCATTTTTTCCGAAAGGTGAAGGCATTTTGAGCAATCCATTTGGTTACAACGTACAAACAGCAAACACTCGCTGCCAAGGTTTTCAAAATGGCTCTCTCTTTCGAGGACTGCTTACAAGCAAATTGATAGCGGATTTGATGCTCTGACGTACGTCAGTACCAGTTTACAATTGAATTAAACGAGCGGGTCGTAGTGAGATCATTTGGAACTGAATCTTCAACCCACTGCATGGCAATAGTGATACTTCCTAATGCGTCATGCCCGTCGATTGATATTTTTTGTCAAAAATAGTGTGATAACGGCGATTTTTTTCCTCCAATTTGATAATTTTTTTTTCAGCTATTTGCCGATTTCTGTCGCTGCCGCTCTTTCATCACTGGAACTGACATCAGTCATAAAATTTGCTTGAGATTTACTTATTTTCAGATTCGAGATAGCCATTCGCTTGATTGATCCATCGGTAGCCGTTCCATATTGGGATTCCGTAATGGACAGCTATTTGCCGGATCCAAGAGATTCTATTTTTTTCAGCCCTTACTTCATGGGTGAAACAGATAGTTTCGGCAACGTGGTGACCGGCCCATATGCTTACTGGAGTACAATTGATGGACGAACTGCTATTATCAGGTAAATCCTGTAACAACCGAATTGAGCAAGACATGCGTGTTATAGCTTAATCGGCCGAAATGCCTTAATTTTGGCTAAATTATACATATATGCATATATATATACATATACATATGATGCTATATATATATAGTTCCGTTGTATGTACACAGCTTTGCCCAATAGCATTTCTAGCATCAAATCTCCATATCCGCACTATCCCTGCAATTTTGATGATCTTGATGCTGCCCAGTATTCATTCTGAAACATTGGTAGTACCAAGCTGCTTGAAAAGACGTAAACTTAATTCTCTCTTCGTTTCGAACTACCGAGCAAATTCTGGCATTTTTTTTGCACTAGAAAAGCCAATAAAATAGAAGTGGAGATAGCGAAATAGGAAATAAACACAAATATCAGGCAAGACAATCTGTGCATTCTGTGGTAGTGATTTGGCTGGAAAGTTTCTAAATCTCGGGTCCAGTTATGCCAGGCCATTCGGTCTTAAGCTGCAAATCTTCACTTTATGCTCGCTGACTGTTCGATGCATGTGTGCGCCATCTTTTCGAGAGCCATCTGAGTGATCGCTTTCTTTCTCACACAGTACCAATGCGTATTGTCTGCCAATTTCGTCGGCATCTTTTATCTATCGAACAATCATAATTAGGCCAGGATAAAAACGCTTGGACATCTGAGCCTGGCTTTAAGCTGCATTTGATCAATATCGCTAATTCCATAGCTGCAGTCCAAATAATTCTGATTTGAAAAAAGTCTTAATTCACAGCTTCAATCATTTTGCAATATTTCACCTGCTTTCGCATATCAGCCATTTATTTCACTTGCCTGAATTTTAGGGCCTTAGCAGAAAAAGGAAAATTGTTTACGGAAGGCGACATCGGCGACATCCTGTCACAAGTTCAAATCGAACAAATTTTGGCTTATACAGCACCACTGAATGGTATGCCTGTAGGTTTCCAACTAATGCATATTTTTTATCACTTTTTTTTACTATCGGTGCGATTTTTGTGCTTTTTGACGTGCATTTATAAAATATGTATATTTATACACACAGTCAAGAGTTAAATTCAAAGCCACTTTTGTATCTGCTCTTTATGAAAAGTGGAGACATTCGGGGAGTAGCTCAAATGGTAACAAATGCCAACAGCAACCTTACGTTGTCAAGACTGTGAATGGCTCACTCTTCCGAAGATTGCTTACAAGAAAGTTGATGGAAGGACTAACTCCCGGACATATGCAAGTACCAATCTGTGTCGAAATCAGCGGACGAAGTATCAGTGTACTAAGCATTGCTCTATAACAATGCTACTTCCCACTACGTCAAGTGCGCTGGCGAAATAAATATGTTCTATGCAAAATTTTTAGTGCTGGGATAAGCTTGGAACTCAGTTTGTTTGGGATGAATGTTTTATTTTTGCTTCATCTTCAGGCTGCCCATATCCACCAACATTTACTGCTATCGAATACACTCACTCATTTGTGCACCTTTGGGTAGGCGGTCATATGGAGCCACCAGAAATGGCATCCAATGATCCAATTTTCTATTCCCATCATTCATTTGTCGATTTCGTTTGGGAACTTTGGAGACAAAGCCGACAATCCCGCTGGGCCCGAGAAACGGTCTAGTTTTTATTCTGTTCTTACTTTTTAATAGAGACTGTTACTAGTAATGTCAATTTAAAAAAAAATCCTAATCGGATTGTTTATTGTCTTATGCGTACCAACTAAATGATTACTGATTGTTAGCTAAACAGATAACACGTCCTTCCTGCGCTTATCGGAGAGACATCCTAAGCATTTTTCTCTCCCTTGTTCGCTCCATCACGGCCACCGCTCGTTTCCTTATCTCTCATCGGCCGTTTTAGTGACCAGAATTTAGGGTGCAGTAACTAAATCCTCTAAATGTTTGGTAGGATTCTCAAGATTGAGCAAGGAATACTGTTTTGTTCAAAAATCTTATATACAGGGTTTCATATGTCCGAAGTGGTTGGCCAAGACATCACGGCTATCAAAAAGAAACTTGTGGGTGGTACAAATACAAAGACCAGTTAGGCATCAGTGTGATATACCGCATTAGTGATGCTACTCGAAAGCTTTCGCATAGAGGCAGGGAGTACAGCTTTGCTAGGTCTTTCGATCTTGGGCTGCATACCTCCAGTTAGTAACCAGGGCTTGTTCGATGTACTTGCGTCTCTGCTACATCTTTTCATCCAGATGGTTTTTTTTCTTCCCCGCGAGTATCACTCACTAATGCGAAATGCGGAAGCAATAATTTTCACTAAATTTAGGAGTATTCACAGGATCTGATGGAATGTGCTGACCCGCAGCACTTCAGCTATGCGGTCATGCGGCCATTTAACTTGATCAATCGCGATGGTTTGTTTAAAAATTTTTGGAAGTTTTTTCAAAACTGACGAGATTTTTGAGATATTTCTTTGCAAAAATGTGCGAATTGAATAGGAAATTCAATGGTTTGACCAGTTTTATCAAGCTGGCATTTTCGGGAACTCGTTCGCTGAGGTTTTTTTGGCATCTCGAGTTAAATCCCTCTGAAGACAGGAATTCACCCTTTCTGCTCGAGGCTATTTAACATTATACGCCAATACTTAGTACTTGTAAGAAGAATTCTATTGTCTGCAACTGTTACTGAAGAAAATATGAGCGGAGGAGGGGGACAAAAACTCCATCTTGATTGCCTAGGAGATGGGAAGTTTTGACATTACAATATTTTGGGTGAAGATGCGTTTTCGTAATTTCAAAAAAATTAGAGCTGAAAATTTTTGGCTGATTTTTGCATATTAAAATCGAGGTTAACGGGCATCGGTAAATAGTGAAATCTCACGGAAAACTTGCGAAAAGCCGGCCAAAAACAGCCCTCCACAAAAAATTATGTGTGCTGCCTACGGAAGGCTGGAAAGAAAGAAAGGTTTATGCTGCCTTAAATATACACAGTAGAAAGCCTGGACACCGTTAACACACAAGTTTAGCATGCTGCGGATATGAAGAGAATTGGTTCGATTCCTTTTCCGCTCATACCCATCTGCAAAAGAGTCTCCACCCACGATGCCACTGTCATGCTAAAGGTCGGGAATTCGATACGGCCAGCCAATCATTTTATGTGTCATCTATTTCGATGGTAAATTGATACTGTCGTATGTCAAGGGACGGGTGTTCACGCCTCTAAACAGCCTTTGAAAGAGAGAGTCATCGATAACCTTGCAAGTTGGCGATTACTGTAGGCATTTGCCGTCAATATGGGCTTCTTCCGAGTACTTCCACCCCTAAAAGCAAGAGGTTATGGAGGGGGGGAGGGGGGTTACTTCATGCTGATGTCAATGCTTTCATTCTCGTTGTGCTGGGAATTGCTTTAGCCACGATTGCTACACTGCGTCCTTGATGCTGTGTTCATTCATCAATCAGTGCATAAAACATCACAGATTTAGTTAAAATAAGCATATGAAAAGAAATAGACGCCCAGAACCGAGGGATATCCAGCACGTATTGGGATCCATCAGACTGGCGCTGGCTCTTTGTTGGCCTATTCCCCCGCTGCTTTTCCACTCGTAAGCATCATTTCTGGAAAGGCCAAAAACTATGAAAAACTGCACTTTGTCTGCTTAATTAAAAATCATTATCATTTCACGTTCCCTTTCATCTGTGGTACTTTACCGCATTGAAAGAAACTTTTGCGAAACCTTTCAGGTTTATCAAATTTGTACACAGATCAGATGTACCGATTTGCACCACGGCCCGGCTGCACCGCTGAATTGCCCAACTGTGGCTCACCGTACTTGTTTTGTGATGCACGGGGTTGGGGTGGAGCTCATTGCGTTTCCAAAATCAAACTGGGCGGTGTTTGCAGTGGCTTCGAAGGTCTTGATGCTTGCTTCGGTGGTATATGCGTCATGGGCAGATGTTTACTGGGGCCTACACCTGCTGTGAGTTTTCAACACACTTCGAAAAGTTAAAGAATTTTTCAAATCTTCGAAATTCGAAATTTAAAATAAAAAATTTAAAAGCTAAAATCGAAAAACAAGCAAAAAAGAAAAATTAGAAAACACCTGCTCTGAACCTTTTAAGAAAAAACTACGCCTATTTAAAATTATAAAAATATCACATTTGATATAAATTCGGCTAACGCAACGCGATTAGACTTTATACTTAATCTGTCCAGAAAAAATCAACTTTCAAGACATAGCGCAGTTCCAAGAAGTGATACAAGGCAAGGGAAGAAAACGAGAGAGGGACTCTAAAGGAGGAAAGTCTGCAAAACCGAAATGTCTTAGTCTTAACTAAATTATTCACTTTTCATCTATGTCATGGATTTTAGCCTTATTTCTAATACACTTCACTGTTTCTAATGTATTTAATACATGCACTTCATTTATATTTCTAATACACGATCTACTAGTGGTCTCGCCAGCAGTGGCATTTGGCACTACCCTAGCTACTTCTCGAGTGCCCCGGCCTCTCGCTGAAAATAAATACGGAAAGGATTTTTGAGCTTTTTATTCTCACTGTTGGCAAATATCTGCTCTTTGTGTAGCGTTTATCTGCTTAAGCCTAACAAGTATCACATCATCTAATATCAAATATATTTTCAAGCAGTACAGACTGAAATTTATCTTTTAGAGGAAAAGAAGTGAATTTTGCCGACTGCTGTAAAAATATGCATATAAAATGATACAGTGCAAAAAATGAGTCAGTTTTTCAGCCATTTATGCCGCAAATGCAAATGCCAGTACCACAGCGCGTCGAAATTGCCCGACAACAGGCAGCGCGGCATTTCGTCGATTGCTTCAATCGCAATCCGTGCTGTGAGCAATGGTCCAGAGACGATGAATGCCGTAAAAACAGAAGCTACATGAAGAAGTACTGCATGGCTGCCTGCGGTATCTGTCGGCCAGCTTACAACGTTTCTAATGGTATCGCATTTCTTCGGCACAAAATTTGAAATCTAAATATCATCCTTACTAAATTTCGCATTTTAATTTTACATGCAAGCAACACGATTTATTGTGACACCCCGTCCCTAATCGACCAAAACAAAATGTGCTCGCCATTGATCAAGAAAGCAAACCTCTCCGAGATTTATTAAGTCTCTGCACTGGTAAATTGATAGTGGCATATTATAAGATACTACTTAAAGGTGAAACACGTTACTATAAAACGTAAAGCGTCATAAATTTGACGCTGTCCGATCTGAGTTTTGTCTTTTAATCAACAATATGCGTTTTTTTTTT